GGTCACATTCCCAGTGCCCTTTGGCAATAAGGATGGGAGGATAACAGGAATTTGCACTCAGGAATGGGCATTTAAGGTGGCCTCTCCACTATTGCTTAGCTTGGCAGTTGGTGTCATCCCTTTAGATCACTTGAGGTCTCACTGGTGCCAGATCTCTCTTCTAACTTATGACTCCCTCTATTATGGTATTTCTCATCCTGTCCTCCCCTTGTTCTACCACCCCCCCACTCAACCTCTAATGAGTCTTCAACACCTGAGATTCTCTCTCCTTTCTCTTGTATTCTATTGGTGATACTTGCATCTGTAGTTCATGATCGTTTACCCAGCTTTTCTATTTCCAGTATCCCCTTGTTCTGTGTTTTCTTTATTGTTTCTATTTCAGCTTTCAATCCTTCAACTGTTTGAGTTGTTTCCTTCATTTGTTTGGTTGTTTTTTCTTAACACTCTTTAGATTCTTTAAGAGATTTGTTTATTTCTTGAATTTTTTGGTTTTCCTTTTCCCCCATTTCATGTGTTTTTTTTGTTTTGTTTTGTTTTATTCTTCTACTTCTTTATGGGATCTCCTCATTTCCTCTTTGAGGGTCTCTATCATCTTCATAAAATAATTTTAAGGTCTGTCTCTTCTGCTTCATCTATGTAGTGCTTTTCAGGTCTTGCTGGCATTTGGTCTCTAGATTCTGGTGGAGTCATGTTGGTCTTTCTATTGCCGAGTGAGCTCTCATTCTGTCTTCTTCCCATCTCTTCTTCCAGTGGGTGTAGGTGGGGTCTTTCTGTCTCCACTGGTCTCCTTCTTTCCTTAAGCTGAAGCTGGGGATGCTGGAGGGTGGGGTCTCAAGCTGGGGACGCCAGAGGGTGGGGTCTGCAAGGACTGATGCCTTTCCTGTGTGGGAGGGTCCTCTGGATGTCAGGTGCAGCCCCAAAAGATTGAGGGAGTAGATGATGAAGGGGGGTGGGTTGGTCCCAGGGGGATCCAAGCTCACCTGAAGCTGGGAACCCAGGAGGTTGGGGTCTGGAAGGACTGGTGTCTTTCCTGTGTGGGCAGGTCCTCTGGATGCCAGGAGTGGGTCCCAGGAAGATTGAGGGGATGGGTGATGGGTGTTGATTGGGGTGGTCCCAGGGGGACCCAAACTCGCCTGAAGCTGGGGACACTGGAGGTGGGGTCTGGAAGGACTGATGCCTTTCCTGTGTGGGTAGGTTCTCTGGATGCCAGGAGTGGCCCCTGGAAGATTGAGAGGGTGGACGATGGGCAGGGGCAGGGTGGTCCTAGGGAGATCCAAGCTCACCTGAAGCTGGGGACGCGGGAGGTTGGGGTCTGGAAGGACTGGTGTCTTTCCTTTGTGGGCCCATTTAAAATCACCAGTAAATGTCCTTAAAAATGGATGTAACCATTGAATATTTCCCAACAACAGCTTAAAGATTATAAACAATCCTTTTTAATTTCTAATTTTTTGAGGCTTAATTTCTTTAGGCTATAACATATGTCCCAAATAAATTTTGAAAATTACTTGAAGTTAGTGAGCACTCTTTTTCTAATCAAACTTGTAAAGCTCGTGCTGGCTGACTAGGCCTCATTTGCATCTTAGCTGACATGGCCTAATTTGCATCTACACTGACACCTTCATGGGTGGTGTATATCAGGGCTACAGTTCCGTGAGGCTTCTTAAAAACTTTTTTTCAAATCATGCATTAACTTTTATTCACTAGATTTGTTTTTCTAATCATAAAAATTTAGAAGAATCTCTGTATCCTCTCCTCTGCTAAACTCTATAGTATCATCCATACAGACTTCTTTTGTTCTTAGGCCATGCTGCAGGCTTTTGCTATTTTTCCATTAACTGTATCTAAGGGCCATCAAATGGCCAACCTTTCCTGTTAAGACATTGACTGGCTGGATGTTCCTTCTGGCTATATCTAAAGCAATTTAGGTAGCTTTTAAACTGTATTCAGAGCAATTCAAGTTAATCATATCCAAGGGAATTCAAATAGTTCCATTTGCCAACATTCACGCATTCACAATCACATTCCATATATACTGGTGTGGCCACACCATACACACAGACCATGTACACGTCTCTCATCTCTCCTTTTGCCTAGGCTATGATTAGTTAGTTGAAATGAAGCTTCTTTGATTGAAATCTCTTGTAACACAGCAGCTATAGCCAATGCTTGAATTATGAACATCCAAAATCTGAACAAATCCAAATTTATCCATGTTGTCTTTCTTTTTCCATAAGGTCTTAAAACAGTTTCTGACTGACTGTATTAATAGCATGTTCTATACATTTGGCTGGGTGGCAGCTACAACAGCAGCTCTCAAGGCTGAGCTTCCTAGGTTTTGGCTTTGGCCTTCCTTTCCTGCTCTTTATCAAGCCTGTGTCCTGGCAGCTGAAAACTTATTCTAAGTTCTCTTGGCAGCTGCGCCAGTCTGCATATACTGGTTCAGGGGCAGATATTTTCTGCTGTCCTTCGAGTGAGTTTGGTCGATGTTTCGTTTCTTCAATCCCTGGTGCAGCTCTGATAGAGCTGGGGCAGTGGCTTCTGCGAGAGGGAAAGATCCTTTCAAAACTCTGTACTTTTCTGTACTTTCTCCTGCTTTACTTCAGCTCTCCTGGCTATTAAAACATACAATCATCTGACTAATAATTCTCTGTCTCATATCTCTATTATATATATTTTCACTCTCAAGGTTCAAATAAAATCTTTAGCTGTCTTTCTCTTAATATTGGTACCTTGTCTTTATAACAATTCTTTTATCAATACAGCCCTAGAAACTGAGGTACCTATTTCCCGATACACCCTCATAAATCCTTACCTGCTGGCCAGCCTCTGAGGGCAATCTCCCAGATTCCTCTTTCTTTCCCGACCTTGGTGCCGGATGAAAGGCTGGAGATTTAATCCAACCCACCCTTTAGTGAGGGCAATCTCTCAGTTTCCCCTTGCTTTCCCCACGTCAGTGGATAGGGTGAAGGCTGGAGATTAATTCAACTCGCTCTTCAGTGAAGGCTGTCTCTCAGTTATCCCTTACTTTCCCGACCTCAGTGGATCATGTGAAAGCTGGAGATGAATCTGGTACTCTAACTTGGTACCCCTTTTCAATACACCCTCCTACCTTACTTGCTGGCCAGCATTCAAGGGTGATACTTCAGAATTTGCCTTTCTTTCCCGCTCCATTTGTAGCACCCAGGCTACAACACTTCTCACGGATTTGGGTGAGTGCCTGAGGATTGAAATAAAGATAAAAGACAGCGGGTCATCCTTGCAAGGAGAATGACATTTATTGCAACAAGAGGGGAGCATTACATACCAGTTAGCAGGCACAGTAGAAAGCTACCAAGGCCAGAAGTTCACATTCCCAGGGCCCTCCAGCAATATGGATGGGTGGAAAACAGGAACCTGCATTCAGGACTTATTAGAAGGAGGGGAACAAGAGGTATTTGCTAGATAAGTTCCTAGTCGCAGGCTGGTCAGCAGATCCCTATGGGGGAAGGGTCCAACAAAAGTCTAAATGAGCAATATTTATCCCTGGCATACGAGTGGACTTTGGGAGCCCATTATGTTGTTATTTTGCTTAAGATTAGAAATTAGAAAAAAAAAGAAAAAGAAAGTGTTGCAGGAGACTGGAACTGGGGGTGGGAACATTACAGCATGAGCCATGGAGAGCACATTAACTATAGTTTCTTATAGCACGACCAAAAGGCTGGAGACAGACATGAGGGAGAGAGTAAGGGAAGGGAAGAGAAGATGAGAGATAAGAGAGCAACCACATGGAGGCGGTCCCTTAAAAGGGGAAGCTCGAGCAAGCATACATGCTGAGTCATTATGTGGCCTCTTAATGAGTGACATAGTGGCCATGCCACTGTGCATGCACTGCCCGTTGTCAGGAGGCAGGATCGGTGTAATGCTGGAGTTCCTACACATTCCACGTGGATCGGGGTAGGGCTAGGCCCTGCCTTGGATGATATGACAGACTTTGGAGATTCCCCATGAAGGGCCTCACCCTCCCTGGAGAGTGGAGTGGGGATTGGGTAGAGGATTGTGGGGGTTGGGGGGGGAGGGAGGCAGTGGAGGAGGGGAGGGAGAGGGCGCTGGGATTGACTTGTGGAGCAAGCTTGTTTCTAATTTAACTTTAAAAAAGCATTCTAAATGAAACCAGGTAGGTTTGATAACATGCCTGGAAGGCTTAGAGATTCAGTCCTACCTACATTCCAGATTCACATCCCTCACTAGACATGGCCAAATGTGGCTAATGACACCCCAGAAACACAGCCCTAAATGATGGACTACAAGCCTAACACATCTAAAATGCTATGGTACAGTAGAGACAAAGACAACTCTGGTGACAGAAGAGTACTTATCCCTCCAGATGACAGAATTGCATTGACATGATGTGAACATGGTCCTTATTGACATAGATGGATGTAACTTAGAAGTACTAAGAACAGAAACACTATGAGGAGCTGGTCACAGGGTGCCTCTTCCCTATTGGCTGTCATCGAACTCTTTGAAGTGGAAAAAAAAAGAACCCTGCAGAAAGCAAATAAAATATTCTACAATAGAAAACATCTGATTGGAATCTTGAAGATTAGTATGTCAGGCCATAAAGATACACCTCACATCCCATGATGTAGGGAATGGAATGCATCTGTGCATTCATGCATGCATAGATGGATAGATGGATGGTTGGGTGAGTGGATGGATGATTGGAGACTCTGACTGTATTAGAAATAGACAGATGACCTTTGACAAGGTAATTAACCATCCTGGGAAGCTGATTCTTCTTTATAAAATGGAAATAATAAAAGCAGCTGCCTAATTGTAAGAATGAAATATATTAATGCAAGCGAAGCCTCTGGTTAGGACCTAGCACTTAATGAAAGCCCCCAGTGGATGCAAGCTGTTATTATGAGGATCTGCATGATTACTTCTTGTGTTTGGTACTCTCCAGTCCTAGATACCTGTGTTGCTGCTTCTAAGACATCTGTGTTCTCTGTGTTTTACAGGGCAACAGGTCCTGGGCTTGGTAGAGAACCAGAGTGACTGGTATCTTGGAAATCTCTGGAAAAATCACCGTCCATGGCCAGCCCTTGGAAGGGGCTACAACACAGGTAAATCATAAGGGCAGTGTGTTGGGGGGCACAGAGAAGGATGCATAGACTCGTTGTTCCTTCCAAAAAGAAAGGAAATGTGCAGCTACTCAGAAAAAGACATCTAGTTTCCTGATTTCATCCAGGCACAGGACACCTCCAGTTACTACTTCCTGTCATTCTGCAAGCAGTAAAGCAGTTGAGCTGTGGAAGTATGGCAGTCTTTCCACAAAGCTCCTCCCCTAACTTTAGGATCCTGTTGAATTTTGCTTGTAATTTCTTTGACTATCAAATACAAATCAGAGATCATTTTCTAGGAATAAATTCAAATTCACTTACTTAATTGATCCACTTTTGTCTTTCCCAGTATTATTGCATGTGCGTTTTAGATCTATGGAGATCCGCACTTACAGTAGGTTATCAGTATTTATCTTTACTGCCATCTTTCATGTGTAGGTTGGGAAAGGAAAAGGAGATCATATTCTTCATATTCTCTCTGACTATTCTTATCTCCACATAAGGCCTACCCAGCAAATGGCAGGAGAAAAGGTAGACATATTTGGAAATTGGTAGTTCTAGGTACTACATTCCTCAAATATCATATTCTTCTTTGTTACTACCACCAGTCTAGCAAGTTTTCTTTTTTTTTTCGCTGTTATTGATAGTCACTTGTGCAGCCATTCTTTATTCAACAGCTATCTTAATTCTAAGTGCCATAGGTGATATCCATGTCCTCAGCAAATGGATAAGTAAAGACTGTAGAAACCCCTTTTTTTTCTCTCCAAGTGCAGTTCCTCCCAACGTGTGTCTCCAAAATGCCTATGGATTCTTTTCTGTCTTCCATACTCATTGCCATTGATGTGATCCTTGCTTTCAAAACATGTACTCACTGTTTTTTTTTTAATTAGGATTAGAACATGGGGCTCAAGTTCTATAACAGGCTTTCTTGGATGGTCAATCATGACATAGTCTTATCCTTAGTTATGATCTTTTAGCCTTATCTTATGACTCTCCCACTAGCTCTTCCAATTTAATTTAACCTGTTTCTCTTTATTTACATTTTTCTTTCATTCAGTATATCCTACTTTTCCTGTTTCTTCTATGTCTGTCTGTCTGGAAGCTGCCTGGCTGGCTGGCCCCAGAGGTCTCCCTCTCTTTCTCCCTTGTTCTCTCTTCTCTAGATCTTAGTTCCCTTTCCTACTTATCCTCTCTGCTCACCAGCCCGGCCTATCTCTCCTCTGCCTAGCTATTGGCCATTCAGCTTTTTATTAGACCAATTAGGTGCCTTATGCAGACAAAGCATCTTTATATTGTTAAGCAAGCTAATAAAGCATAAACAAATGTAACACATCTTTATATAGTTAAACAAATGCTGCATAAACAAATGTGACATGTCTTTCCATAGTTAAAGTAATATTCCACAATAGGGTCCCAAAATGGGCTTGTTCTTTTGAAAACAGCAGCTATGCTGAGTTAGGTTAGATGCCTAGAAACTGCACCACCTTAAGATGCTGCATAGACAGATCCTAGAGTCTGACCTCGTGTTCTAGAGAAAAGAAAGAGCCCGCAAGTTGACCGTGAGGCCTGATGATGCAACTCCACAGAATTCAGAGATGAACATGGGGTCCCTGTACCCAAAATCAAAGGGATGTGAGCCAACATCTGAAGGTGGAAGTTCAGAAATGAACCCCACTGGACTGCAGTTTGAACGTTCGTTTCCATGACTATTGAAATAAGCCTGAAATCAATGCAAGAGTAGGCGTTAATACTAGAAGAGAGGAAAAGTCAAGTATCAGTGTCCTGGACAGTCAGATGTCCAGAAAGGGAGCCTACGTTGAAGGCTTTCCTTGGAGAAGAGTGAGCTTCCATTGCCGACAGTTGCCAGGTCATCAGGTCTACTGTGCTTCATGTACCTCCTAGGCACAACCATTATTGCAGCTGAATTTGTTTATGCTCATCACCTCCTCACACATCCAGAGCTTGTCTTTTTCTGCTGAGCTGGGCATCGCCCTATAGTTGGTATATAATAGAGGAACCTGAGGACTCTGAGACAGTGAGGGATGGGGAAGTAGAGATGAGGAGGACCACAGTAGCATGTATAAAGTATTTCTAAATTTAAGTACTAGGGGAGACCCTCTTCTCACCTGATAGATATTGGTCAGATATTGAAGTAGGTGCTAACTTGGGTTAATATCATAGGATCCTCATGCTATGTTTTATCTGTCTGTACTAGAGAAAATTAATGCTTAGAGGTTTCAAGAGTACAACCTGAATTAGCTACTGACCTTTCTGGATCAAACTTGAATGGCTTCATGATCAAATACTTTTTGTTTGGATTTGGTTTTATATTTTTGAGACAGAGGTTCAGTACATAGCCTAGACCAGCCTAGAGCTTCCTATGTATCCCCGACTGTCCTTAAACTCATAGTACTCCTTGCCTCTGCCTCCAAGTCCTGACATTGCATGTGTGTGCTGTCATAACTGACACAGACACTCTTTTAAAATTAAGTATACTGAGCTCTGCCTTTAAAGTGACTAGTAGGTCTATGAAGGAGGCAAGATTGCACTAGAGGAAGCCTTTGTGATGTTTCAGAAGCAGAATATCCAAAGTCCTTCTATAATGAAATAGAATATATTGTATGTCTTTCAGCAAGAACACTGAGACACTCCTCCCTGAATGTGTGTGTTGGTGCGCAGATGCTCCCAGATATGTATAGAGTGGATGATGGAGGCCAAAAATGCAGTGTTGTGCCTTCCATCTTGCTTTTTTGAGACAGGGTCTCTTATTAGGACCTGGGGCTCAGTGATTAGGCTAGGCTGCTTAGTATACATGCGCACGCGCGCGCACTCGCTCACACACACACACACACACACACACACACACACACACACACACACCTGACTTTTTACATGGGCACTGACTATCTAACTCAGGTCCTCAGGCTTGAATAGCAGGAATTTTGTTGGTTTAGCCATCTCCCCAGGTCCAAGAGCACTAATTTCTTAATGCATTTAGGGTTGGATTGTGTATGATCTCATAGCAGGTTAGTGAGAATGTTTCATGTGTCTAGATTTGGGAAACAGTCAGCTTTTCATGGGTGCACCTCTCAAAGAGACACAGACACCTCTCTATTTTTAGATGGAAAAGGGAAGTTTCAGGTGAAGCTTGTTGTGCCGAGTTTCTGCTTCTCAAGTCCTGTGCTAACAGAAAATGTCATGTAGAGATAAACTACAGCCCACTGAGGATGCAATATCAGGTCATGGTTATCTTCATTAAACAAAAGCACTTGTCACTGATCTAAGTTTGCAAGGATAAGAAAAATGTAGAACCATGGAGAAGTCCTATGGCAAGGATAGCATCTTCCTCCCACCCTTCTGTACACTGCTTCATAGCGTGAAATTAGACAAGTGTATTAACCTTCTTCAGTTTCTATTAGTATGCTGAGACAATAAGTTTACCCCTGAAAGGTCATGAAAGGGCAGGCCAGGTACGGAAAAACCCTGTGAGATGTGACAGGTCTCTTTCAATAAGCCAGTAACAACAAGTAATCATTATAAAAGGACTTATGCATCATTAAGATGCCATAGCTTTCCCAACTAGGACTTTTTTTTTATGATCAAGATGTGTGCCACACGTCAGCCAACAAGTCATCCAACTCTTGGGGAACTAGAAGACTCTCCATGAGGGAAATGATCACTCTAAATCCAGCAAAGCCCAGCTTCCCAAGAGTATAGTATCCTGTGGATATTATTGAAAAACTCCAGTACATTTGGGTAGGAACCACAGCTAGACCACTGAGTCTAGTAGCTTGGCCATGCTGCTTGGACAGCTTCATTAGTTTTAAGCCATGTGAATTAGGAAAATGGTACTCTCGTGTTGTGAATACCACCTGCTTAGGAAGAAACTTATTTAAGAGCCCAGCCATATTATTCCTGTCTTCACTTCCCCAGTGTTGGAATTAAAGGCACATGATCCCATGTGCAAGGATCACCTTTGTGTGAGCTCTCTTTCTCTTTTAGACTGGATCAATTTCCTGAAGCCCGGGGTGGCCTAGAACTAACAAAGATCTGTCTGCATCTGACTCCCGATTTCTGGGAGTGCCACCACTGCCTGATCTCTATTTCTAACTAGTGTGACTAGCTCTGCACTCTGATCTTCAGGAAAGCTTTATTTGTTATAGCATCAACAAAATATCACCACAGTGGTGAGTATATAACTAATAAGCTGTTTATCACAGTCTCTCAAGGACCAAAGTCAGGAAAAATATCAGTTATTTTACTTTTATAAACATATGTACCTTCTCCCACTGTCTAGAAAAGTTTGGCTTTCTGTGCTATAATTAAAAGGAGAAATCGCCCATTTTAATTCCTATACCAATTTCCCAACTTTGTTACTGTTAAAGTCTCCAAAACGAAAGCATCAGATATTTGAGCTGCAAGCTCTGCCTCGTAGGCCTTACTTTTTGAAAATTCTGCTTTCTGCAAAGCTTACTCAACGTTGTGAGACCAAGCTACCTTGTCTATAACCCAGAAGCTTGATAACATTGTGTTGAAAGCTGGGAATTTTGTGTGTGTGTGTCACGGTAAGTGCCTGTAACCCGGAGCATTTTAGGGATTTGCTTTTACCCCACTTCCCCCACAGAACAAGACTGTCTGTTGAGACAGTGCCGTGCAGCCATACTGCTCAAATGCATCCGGTTCACACCATGCGCCCTGCACCTCAGCATGTGTCATCTTCTCACTTTGGTTTGACTCCAGGGTTATCTCCTAATGGAGCCATTCTCCTTGAAAGATCCAGCTAGGCTTCCACTACATCTCTTTGTTTTTATTCCCTTTCCAATCTGCGTCATCTTGGAGATATTTGAGGCAGGGTCTCAACACTGTAGCCTGGGCTGGCCCAGAAATCACCTTATAGTCCAGGATATCCTCACATATGGTAGCAATGCCCATGCCTCAGCTTTTCTCTCCCTAAATGCTCCAGTTACTGGTGTCAGAACCACACCTGACTCTTAGTGGAGTCT